CAGATAGCAATCAGAGAGCTCACCTCACTAAGAGCTGCCATTTATATCCATTTGCATTGACTTCTACTTTTTCAGTTGTATATCGTTTTCCCCACCATAGCATTAACTAGACACCTCACAACAGCACCAAAAAATAATAAAAAAAAACAATAAATCATGTTGGCAAACCATACATTTTCCAGTTATAGGTCTAATATTACATTGCGTTATTCTTATAAACATGTTCAGTAAAATAACCAGAGATCATTAATTCAACCTGTTTCTCCAGAAGTGAATTGACTTCCTGTTTATAGTCAGCGCTGATAGCAATGGACATTAAGAGACATTGTTCTCTGGGTGATTATCCAGATTAGCAGTTTATCCCCGTAACAGAACATCAGATGCAGTCGAAGAGCTAAACCTCTTTCAGAGACAAATCATTAAGTTAAAGCGGAAAGGATTAGAAAGTGCACCCATGTGCGCGCGCAAAGATGCCGTAGCCCGTGCGCTGTCCATGGTCCTGAAATCAGCCCTTTTTAACAAACACTGCATGCCGTCGGGACGAAACAAAACGGGCCACACTTTAGATACATATCCGGGCATTGGACCTAGGGGGAAAGAAAAGAAAAAAGGCTGAAATATATACATCTCCTTTATAAGCTGTGTTTGACGCCCCCAAAGCGTTACAGATTTAATTTAACAAAGGTGCATAACAGTACTAAACGAGCCACACTTACTATAAAGGACAAATAACACTACTAATCTAACATGCTCCAAATACGACTGTACGACATCGCTATAAGCATGATAACTTTACAAGGCCTACATTAACACTCAACTATGACAGCTTTTGAAAACTAGGGCGTTATGTACAAATATAAAATCTGTCGCTTAATGAACATTTAGCAATTGAGGTTGTAATATGTTGCTGCATATGGTTCCTGGAATATTATAATATAGTACTTTAGTATAAAAAAACACGTATACCTATATGCATGAAGTTAAATTTCTTACCTACGTACATTACTTAAAATCATAGCCTACAAGTTGTAAGAGGCTATAGCAGCGATAGATGACACAGAACGGGCTTGCAGGTGGTTTTATTTTAAGTGTGTCACCAACTTGTAACAATAACATGAGAATATTGTATAGAACCATTAACGAGAAAGGGGCTTTTCCATATTCTAGGTGAGTATCGTTCAGTCTCCCCCCGTTTCCCTGGTCGGTGTGCCTCTCTCCCTCTCTCTCTCCCCATCTAAGAGGCGTCCCCATCTCCGGCAGCCTTTATTCCATAAACATGTCCTCAGACGAGCAGCTGCCCGATGAAGCGGACGAACAGACCGCATGCTTCCCCGGGAGGAAAGAGAGTGAAAGGGGGTGGACCGCGGAAGTTTAAAAGAAAGGTAATTAAACCGGGAAAGCATGATGATACGGACTGCCATGGTTTCTGTTTAATCCGTTAGTGTGCGCAGGAGTACCTAAGTTCATCACTGCGAACTTTCTGTGTTGCGTTAAAGTGCTTGCACACGTTTGGACGACTGGAAACAAAATCATGAAAAACAACTCAGATTTCCAATATGCAGCAGAGAAGGATGCGGCGACTAATCTGATTATCGGCGACCGTCTATTGATAACGCACAATGACAAATGTTAACGAGAAGCTAATAGACAAGTAATTTTCTGTATAGGATAGATTGCATATCGCGACAATGGATAGGATGTTATCGAATGTTACAGTAAGAACAAAAGAGCAAGCCTTGCATGAGTGCGGTCGTATCCATAACCACATATATGAAAACCGTTTGATCTGTATTTCTGTGGCTGGTGTTTGAAGCAGTTCAGTCGTGAAAATTTAATTAGTAAAATGGATTCCTGTTCATATCAACCAAGTCGGTGCTATTTTCTGCGTTTTAAATGGAAATAAAAGTAATTATCAATGGAACGGAAGGCAGATTCACTGCCTTATGTAGGACTTGAGATCCAACGCGTATATATTTTGTTGTGACTCTGGCGTATAGCTCCGACTGACCCGCAAAAGGAAGAGATCTGTGACCGCTGTAATTACATGGGCATGTTATGGGTTCGCCTTTGTTTCGTTGGAATACACTTAAACTTTAAATAAAAAAAACAAAAACAAAATGACAACTCATGCGTCCTAACCTCGTTCTCATGATTTTAGATTACATTTCACTGATGCATAAACTTGCTTATATTTCCATTGCTTGGACAATGAAATGGAAAAAGCAATGGAAACATTCGTGGTTATTAAAGTAGCCTGCAAAATATCCTAACTCCATTGCTCTGAATTATTTAAATGTTTTAATTTGACTTGTAATCAATGAAGCGTTTGGCCCCGGGACAACGTGCTCCAGCAAACGAGCGCAGCCAATTTTGGATTAAAATACGGGAATATTTGCTTTTATGCATTGCCACACACACTGGTACACATCGAGAACCCTCACAGTTATACAATAAGTTAAAAATCGATACGTTGAGATAGACAAGGTATATCTTGCCCACATATTGGTTTTCGGGCATTATATCCCCCCAACGCTTTGCTTCAGATATTAGATTTGGATGCAGGTATTCGTTATGTGGCGCTAATTTCGCTGCCGCCTCCGCCATTGACATTTCCGCCCAGCAAATGCACACGAAACGTAAACACTTCCAGAAGTGAAAAGGTTGGTTGACGATCTCGTTATCCTTAGATGGCGCATTTTCTGCGCCCCCGGACATACGAGACCATCGGTCTGCCCCCACGACTAAAACCATTGTCAGTGTGTCGGTCCGCTGCAGTTACTGATCTTGCCGTTATAGTAATGTGCCAAAATTACGTGCCCCGAGGCTATCATTAATTAGCAAATTACCTCGATATTTAAATTCAATATGCAACATTACTTTAGGTAATTGATAGGTAATTAATCCAACTAAATTACAAGCATTTATTAAAATGTTGGTGTCCCTTGGGATAGTAGTCAGTGGAGAGGCGACAGATCCTTCGGCGTCCAGCACGATTCTGTTTCTCAGTCTTGGCGCTTTGCCCCTAGCTTAAGTGGACCTTGATTCTTGATCTTAGCAGACCTGAAAAATAGCGGACAGCCCGACACCTTCCACAGGTGTTACCCTATACTGCACACACATTGCCTTGCACATCTACTGTGATGAATTGAGATGTTGTTCCAGCAACGCAACGAACAATGATATCGTAAACTATACTTCCAGAACGATTTTGCAGAGTTAGATCTTACAGGGGAGACAAACATTTATGACTATTGCTATGCTAGGGAACGCGAACTTTAGACAATTACGCGTCTTTTGCGGAGCAAAAAAAATAGGGTGCGGTTTAGTTTCTGCCTACAAAAATGAGGACAGAATTTCAGTTACTGGTTTTGGTATATGGCACGTTATTTTTCCACAGGGCGCACTGGTGCAATACATTACATCAGATCTGTCGCTTATATCACTACCTACGCATAGGGCGAGCTGCGATGCCATTAAATCCAACCGCGAAAACCACAATAGATACAGCACCTCGATTCAAACTGTTTCGGTAATGCGAGTCACATTTTCACCTGCGTGATGAATGACAGTACAGTATGTTCTATTCACGTTTCCATCCTAAGTCTGATTACACCGCAGACATGACCGCGTGTGACTATAATGAATAAAAATATATAGTTTTTTAAGTGAAGAATCATTGTCATAGTATAGACGATGTGTGACAGATGCAGTTCTTATAGAGAAATTGCATGCAAAAAATGAAAACTGCACCACAAAAGAATTCTCCGTGGGAACTGTGCGCGTCGCCAGTGGGTACGTTCAATTACCCTTGGAAGAAAAGAAATCATTGGATTTTTTTTTGTTAGCGTTTTGTATCACAAATGCAAGTGTAATAAGCCTCCGATGGCTGATGGTGAATAATTCTACTGCTGAAAGTGGTTCATTATTGAAATCTATGTCTGCGCTATTTGAAACGTTTTTTTTCCTTGTTTGCCCAGGTGATAAGACAGTATTTAGGGGAGGGGGCAGCCAATACTTAGTATTAAAACTGTAGACTTAAGCGCTTTCTTGCGCCTCTGTCATTTCCTAATATTGTTGCTTTAATAGCCGTGACATGGAAAAAGAAATCATAGTATGTCATGTGCTCGTGTTGTGTATATATCCCACGCATTGTTCCTGTCTGGATATACAAAAAAATATCCCGGAGAGGGGCATCACAACCCGCCCCAACCCTCCCATTAAAACAAAATTAAAAAGCAGAAGTATCATAAGCAGGCTTGCTTGGGGGCGGAAGAGATTGCAGTAAGACTATCGTAGTTGTAACCGAACGGGTCACGATCAGGTCCTCGAGAGGACGGCTGGAACGCTACAGAAGTATTGCAGCTGACTTTAATTACTTATAACACCCTAAAGCATAAATTTGCAGAACTCTAAACCATGCAAGGCATGTACAATGAAAAGCAGACGCGAATCAAAACACAGATAAGACACCTCAGACTTAATTTAGTTGAGCTAATGTATCCCCTGCGCATGCGCCCGTGTTAGGCAGCTTGATATATTTAAGTGATTTTCAGCATAATCTCTGCTACATGCGTCCCTCCTCTCACGTGTGCGCGCAGTGTACTTTCTAAACTAAAACATCTGAGAGTTTGGCAATATCTCCATAATACATATTACATTAGACAATATTGCTACAATCTGATAAGTGTGGGCAATTAATAAGCATGTGCCCAATTATTTGTCGCATTTCAAACACCTCTGGAAACCTAATTCTTTATTATCAATAATTAAGTTTTAGAAGTTAGCCCATCACTTGCACTTCTACATAAGAATTTGAGAAGCCTAAATGAATGGGTCAACGTTACGCTTGACTGTCCTCAAAATGGAAAAGCGACGTGAGCGCCACTAGTTCTGTTACACGGATATTCTGCGGAGTGACAGATTCTCCTCCAAGTCTGGCAGGTTAAAAGAAAGTGCAGAAGCTGGGTGGAAAGGGACGTTTTGTGCACAAGTGCACAACTACACAAGACTGCACATGCACATTTCAGATTCTATGAAGCGATATAAAAAAAGTACTCATTCTCATTTTTCGAGAACTTTGTCCAATGCCGACCGCAAGATGAGAGCCTGTTTCTAAATGATTTCGGAGGTGTTGCGCGCAAACAGGCTTGTCGGAGTTTTTAGGCAGGAGAAGGGGTGGAGAACGAGTGTGGGGGCTGCTCGTTGACTTTCAGAGCTTGAGGCGACTATTTGATAACCGAAGTGGCCAAGAATATACGCAGCCGCCTTGGTCTCGGTGTTATCGACAGTATTAGATCTACCTGCAAATTAACTCCCTCGAGTCCAGCTTTCCCATCCGGATATCGAAGAGGATATCGAAGGACCAAATCCTACCTGTTTGCCAAGACCTCCAAGGCTCTACCGAGATAATTCCTCTTTCGATGCCTCGTAGCCAGCTATTACACTTCTCAAGGTAAAAGTCATTTTCATACATGTTAGGGGATGTTACTGTGCCCTGGCAACCAGCCATCTCGCGTCCGCACTTCACCTTTTGAAATGAGCGCATTAGTAATTGCACGTCTTGTCCGGACAAATCATTTCAGCAGTTTAATTAGATTTCAAGCTCGTTTATGCTTGGAAATGCTTTTTAATTGCAAGTCACGGACACACCTTCTCCTATTTCTGACGTGCAACGAGAATAATCAGATTAAATGAAAATTAAACGGATCTTGTTTAACCTATTAATTTAATGTCGCCGACGTAAACAGCGGACATAAAAGAGAAAACTTAGAACAGTTATCCATATCTCTTCTTGTTGTGCTAAACGGGTGCAATCACTTGCATAACTTAACCGCGTTGTTTATAATGTCATGCTTGACTAGTAAATCAAACGTTTTTTGAAGAGGCGCTGTAAATACTTTTAATTGGATGCATTTGTTGTTTGTGCCAGACCTTGGAGAAGGAATACGGTCTGAGGGCGTTTTTCTTATTATTTACGTATACCTTTTCTATCTACCATTACCAAAATGAGCTAGTCTATATGAATAAGATTAATGTAGAATCGATAGTAGAAGCAAACACGTCGGCAAGCGGAAGATGTTAGAGGAATTTTAAAGTAGAAGTTTCTGGATTTATTCCCCCTCCCCTAAGGACCACAATAAACATGATGTGCATGGTGCCCACGTCTCAAAATGGCGAAGGCCCTGGGGGTTCTTTCAGGGTGCCTCTTTAACTTTCTTGCTTAAATAATAAATGACGAAAGAATGCTTTATTTAGTCTTTCGATCCATTTGCGTACTCCAGCAGTCAGTGGTCTGCAAATCAGTGAGATTTATGAATTTGAGGTTATGCGCAGTTAGAGAGCTTATGTGCCTCTTCATTGATCCAGGAAAGAGTTATATTGCACAGGCTCAATACAAGTTAAGTGGACCCATGTGGCCAGACTAGCAGTCAGACTCATTTAGTCTCTTAGGGGGCATCCCTCCTGATCCAGACTGATCTCATACCTGTGTCTTCCCTGTTTCCTGCACTCTCAGAAAAAAAGCTAAAAATGTGTACTTTTCTTTGTCAATGGGGCTGTACCCTTTTAATGCTAAGGTACATGCCAAAGGTACAAACAGCATTAATGTACCGTCAATGGTACATAAATCTGCCTCAGAGTCCATTTCTGTACAATTACTTATGCTAAGGGTACAATTTTCAGACCCTTGAGGCTACAGCCCCAGTGAAAAGACAAAGGTACAATTTTTTACCCTTTATTACTGAGATCATGATAAGGGGAAACTGGAGTTACTCAATCAAATAAGTCAGAAATGTTGTCCACTTGTTTCCATTATGCCCGCTTGATCGGTGTTGCTTCTCTCCTCTGCACAAGAGGTGGTCATGAACTGTCATGAACAGCTGGAGTAGGGGGTGAAGAGGGGGTTGAAGCTTCAGGTGCAACCAGAGGAGGTGTCTCCTCTGCTGGCCAGACACTGCTAGCTGATGTGGTGATAGCAGATGGATTTCGACCTTCAAACTCAGTTAGTTGGGCCGAGGTTGTCACCGAGTGCCTGGACGGATGCCTGGTGCAGCCATGGATCTGTTCTGGAACTTTCCCTCCCATGCCCCCGTCGAACATGTCGATGCAGGCTTCTTTTTTTTTTTCCAGATACCACCGTATCTGAAGTGGTGAGTGAGATGTAATGTAAGTACGGCCGAGGAGCTGACAGTCTCCTGTCGTGTGTGTACTGCCAAGAGGAACCAGTGTCAGGGAACGAGCTGGCCAAGACAGTAGGGGTGTGCACCTCTCCCCTCCCACCCCCCAGCAAACAAGGTCACTTGCAGTCAGAGATAACATAAATACAATGGAACACTAAGCATTACTCAGAGGTGGAGAGTTCAGATCCAGAATGTAAAAATCCAGACCAAGATTTTGTCTCAACCAACCAGTTATAGTACTATAGTATAGTACTATAACAGTATAGTATAGTATAGTATAGTATAGTATAGTACTATAATCCCAGCATTGTATATATTATATATTTTTATATAAAATTTGAAAGAGTGGAACAATGGCAAAATTGTATTTTTATATATACATATTCCTTATTTGTAGACAAAATACCAGAAAACATTTTTTCAAAATGTAAGTTATAAACCTTCCACATTTTCAAGTAGCTGTTGCTGTAATGTTACCATAATGTGGATTAGAGACACTGTACGATGCTGCGTTTATCACAGATTTATTTACATAAGGCGCTCTGCTTGTGCTAACACTTGCAGTAAGGTGAAGCAGCGCTTTAAGTTAAATTTAGCCAGCGCGTCCCCTTCATATGACAGCTATACGGCTGTCAAGGTGCAGGTTCTGCGGTTCACGCTGTCACTGGAGATCTGACCTGGCAGCCACCTCTCAAACTGCCTAATTGCCATGCACTTCACCCTAACAGGCTTTCCGTTGTCGTTGACGCGTAGTCTAATCTTCCTTATTTATGTCCCTGACTCTTATTTTACCATTATGTCATGTTTCCAACAGTTTATGTAGCATGTGTTATATAAATAACCCAAATTTCAAGTGAAAACTAAAACATTTAACTAAATGTCCCAAATCTATATGTGAGATGGGCACATAGGTGATGTTTATAAATGAGGGATTTAGCAATGTTTTGTGATATTTTGAGCTGTTATTTGAGTGTAAAGTAAAATGGGGAGGGTATTCAGATAGCGACAAAGGGCTACCAAACTGCTTATACAGTACTGGGAGAGAGGCTGGTACATGCTGTGGGCAATCAAGAGAGGCGGGTTTACATATCTGGGGGAGGAGACCCACACAGCACATGCAAACTCCGTACACACAGAACTTAGGTGGGTTATGAAGCCCCAAACCTGGAGGTAGGAAGCAGTGCTTCAAGGGAATGATGCTCCTCACTGAACCACTATGGTATAAATTAAGGAAACTTCATGAAATTATTTCATCCTCAATTAAATTGCCATTGTACAGCGACTCAAGCATGAATTTTTCTACAAACCTCCGGCACAGAAAGCTTTAATGTATACATAAACGTAAATAAATATTCAGTATTCAGTTAACAAGGATGAACTTGTGCGAGCTGTGCAACCTCGGGGCTTGGAGTAATTGCATATGTGAAATCTGTAATTAGTGACAACAGCAGTGAAGCATAATTGAGCCTATGTGAGAATACAATGAAGACAATGTCACCTCCACGCTCTCTAGTCTGATTGATTCTCTTATCTGGTGGCTTTATCTTGGCTGGCTAATCCTGTCAGTTACAAGGAGCAGGTTGCTGCACGGAATGACATAAATTCAAAAAGCTCTGGATAAAAAAAATCAGTTGTGTCATCATTAGTAGCCCTATTGTTGCATCACCGTGTCACTGTGGGTGTCCTGCTTTTTCCGGGGCTGTTTCCCCAGTTCCAATAGAGTTCCTCTGTCTAGCAGCATCTATTTAGTCCTTCCACTGTTCCCAGTCCATTGCTGCTGTAAACAGCCACATGGGATATCTGCCCCATCGCTGGCCTTCAAAACACTGATCTCGCCATCCCTGTGGGTGAACCGCTGTACCGTGGTTGCCGTAAGACTGACACAGAGACGTCGCTTTGGGCAGATACCCATCGGGACTGCGGAGGGCGTTCGAGGGGACGCCCCCGTGTCATTGTACCGCGGTGTGGCTGCTGCTGATTTGTTCCACGGCAATGGTGGTGCTCTCAGGACCGAATGGGAGGCGGTTCTTAATTAATCAACCTCAGGAGAGGATTTTTGGGGACAACAAAAATCCCATTAGCATGACTGCTATTCTTAGATGTAGTCTCAGTACAAAGTAGTAATAATAATAATTATGATGCCTATTACTGTTACCCTGTTTGGAGATGTAATGAGCGAAGGAGCCTACAGGAAGATGCGGAAGATAATTAAGACAATAAAGTATCTTCAGGAAGACTGAACGCTGGGGATTCTTACTATCTTGCGATAGACCTGTAAGCCTGGAACCTCCATCAGAGTCACTAATAAGACGTTCAAAGGGGACCCGCATGAAGGTACATTGACAGGCCTCTCAGGTTGCTGTCACTTCCAGGCCCCCGTCCACATGTCCCCCTGCCCAATCCTACTCTCTCTCCCACACAGAGACAGATCTATCAAGCTCTACTGTCAGGTCAGTCATGATACATTGCAGACAGGTATTTAAAATTCTTTTTATGCAGACAAAATACCTGCGTGGAAAATTGATCCTCCAACACGTGGCGGCCATTTTCTTTCCATTTGGGATTTTGAAGGCAATTCTCTCTCTCTCTCTCTCTCTGTTTTCGCTCTCTCCTTCTCCTTCTCTCTTCTCTCTCTCCCCCTTCTCTTTCTGTCTCTCTTTCTCTTCTCTCTCTCTTCTCTCTCTCTCTCTCTCATGTACGGGCAGTGCCCCCAAGCGGCTGTGTCCAAGGGGAATGTGACGGGAAATGAGAGCTGAGAGTCAGGTTCTGATGGGAACTCAGCGGCCCCTGTGTCAAACACAGACCACGAGGCTGGAGAAGTGAGAGGGGCGGGTGACGCACGTGGATGTATTCTGCGATGGCAGCAGAACAGCCGGATGCTGAGGATGTTGGGATGAACCTGCGTTTGGTGCTGGCACAAGGAATGAGATGGATTTGACTGTCGCCAGTAGTAGCTCATTACCTTATACCTCGTGGTAAAAAAATACTGAGAAGAAAGCAGTGTTTCTGCACATGGAGCTCCGCCCTGCAGACGTGTCAGCGACGTGTCATTGGTTGTGGCAGCACTGGCACATCATGGCAAAATTGTTTCTCGGTTGCCTAGATATTATATTTATTTATTTTTTTGCTCGCTCATTTCAAGAATATATATTTTTAACAGTCACAGAGCCTATATTGTCTTCCAGAAATGAATTTTGAGGAGGTTTTTAACCTAAGAAATGAAATATTTGCACACAGAGCCCAAGAGCAGCTGGTGGATGCTGGGTTTGCTCAG